CACGGCACTGCCGCCGGTGGCGGCAGGCAACCGTAGGAGACATGGACACGAGCGAGCGAGCGGTGTAGCCGATACTGAACAGGATACCGCGTGTATTTTCCATACTGCATTGTACGGCTGGATTAGGACCAAGGAGAAACCAGTAAAAAACGGTTGACAACGGCCGGATTAGGACCAAAGTAGCCGGTAAAGAAGCCGGGATATTCTTTACCTATTCTGTACCGCCCGTTCTCTCGATGTCATTTGAAATTGGGATCCCAGAAAAGCTAGTTGAGACGTTAGGACCACAAAGCGATGACCAAGATGACGGGTGCTATCGTTCCTCTTCTCAACAACGGTTCAAGTATTAGGGACTTAAGACTAGATGAAATATTAAAACTCCTATGTGATAGCCAGGAAAAGAGGAATGGGAATAGTGTGCTGTTCATTTACTTGATAACTCTAACTGGAACTTTAGGGCAATGTGATACACGGTGCTCTATATTATTCATGTCCCTGCGAACTAGGCTGAATTAGGAATTCTATATATGCAAGCAAACTGTAAATCATGATTAGTGATAAGGTTGGAATCAAGAAGATTGATGATCACGAAGATCCACGACTTTCCAAATCAAGCGCACGCGGAAAGTACTATATGTATATCGAATTTAGAGGACGTGAGAAAGATAGATAAGAGACTGAACTCGATTCGACGCACAAATATGTTGTCCATATTCTCGGACAGAGTTGTTTCTGATCAATCTGAACAGATAGTAGTAGGCTCGACGAGACGATCGTGCGTAAGCAATCCTTTTGAATGTATCGAACTATCGGAGCGATGCTCACGCGACGAGAGGAATTTCCTCCTATCACACTCTCCGAGTATCGTGACGCCACATATGTCCATTGCGGATTCACGATTCTCGCGCAGACAAAACCAGTTTGCTGGATATCCTTCTTTGTGTACATAGTGTATATCTAAGGAACACGCGCCGCATAATGTACAGATGCCTTCAGTTAGTGTAAGAATAAGTGATTAGGAGCTCGATCTTAGCCCGTAAATTGAGATCTATAAAGTTTCGAGGAGTACGATTTATCTCATGAGGGTCCTCGAGCGGGATCGAGCGAAAGGTTACCTCGTTTCGGTGGACTGGATTCGCTCAATGCCATCCAAAAAAAATCATTGATTCCTCGTTTGATATGTGCTGATTCTGGGTAACACTCGGTTTCTCTTTTCTTTCTAGTGTCTAGATCTAAACAGACCTTGTGGGACCGGTAGCTCGGAATGGAACGGAGAATTGCAGATCCGGGAAGTATTAACTAAACGACATTCGGGACCCGAAGTTAGGATAGGCTGAGGGAGATCCGCGCGGTCCATCCATCGGAACGAGGCGTGGAAGATGCGCGACGACAGTTCGCGAGGAAGCAGGCGTCTCTTTAGACTGAAGCACGCGAGGACGAACGGCACTGTCGACGTTCTTGCGTCCACGGGGCCACGCTGGCAAAAATTGCGGCGAGCATGGATTAATGCGTGCCGAGTGCGAGCGCGGCTCCGTCCCCGACTTTCAGATTTGAGTGTGTCGAGGCGAGGTGGAATTTTTATCGAGCGTAGAGAAGCTTAAAGAGCGTGCGAGCGAGCGCGTGTATGTGTGCATGTGCATGTAAGAGAGAAAGAGAGACAAAAAAATATATATATATAACGATTATATATAGGGTATACGAGAGAGATGTAAGAGAGTAGCGAATCACGTGCGTCGACTGCCTTGTACAAGCATAATGCATGCGTGTGGATGTGCGTGCGTATAGATTCCGTATCGATGTATTTTATTGTAAAGAAATAAGACAAAGAATTTAGGCGTGCGCAAACTTCGATTTTTGTAGAGAAATTGTATAACTTTGCTGATAACTTATCTCTTAGGGAAATGAAGAATTCATAATTGTGTGTTGACCGATCGCTAAATGCCGATAAACGCGACTAGAGGGAACTCGTCCTTAGGCATGAACGATTTATAAAGTCTCGAGGACGACAAAAGAAGAAAAATGAAAAAACGAGGCGACACGTAATGCGTTGATTCTAAATAATTAAGTGGCGTTAAGTGACTGTAAATTCGATGCTAGAACGCTATTTGTTTACTAAGATAATGGTAGCCAGTGATGCGCGAGAGCTAAGGGGAGAAAAAAGGGGACAAGGAATTGAGGAGAAGTGCAGGGGCGAGGTCTGTAGAGTGAGGTAAATAGGAGGAGCGAAACGTATAATTACGTATGCATACTATATATATATGTATCTATAAACTACATAATGTTTGTTCAGTAACTACTATCGTCATCCATTTTATATATATTATATGCGATTATTGATTATTAATTATATTATTTTATTACTATCGTCAGTGTGACGTAAGATAGAGAGAGATAAGAGGAGAAAAAAGAGAAGAGAAAGATAACGGCGGTGTGAGAAATTTTATTGGGCAGCGTTTCGCAAATGCCAAATCAAAAGATATGGCTAAAGATATGATGCGGT